GTGAAGAAAGGAGTCTCCCAAGTGTTGGGCAGAAATGAGATCCCATATGTGAACACTTACTCGGGCCCACCCCAGGCTGCTTCTGGGAAGTCTGAACAGCCCTTCTGAGGATTCCTTGGGGGCTCTGCTGTCACGCTAACCCTTTTCCATCTTGCCTGAGAATTCCCATCCTATGTTCTTTACGGGAGCTTATTTGTCTCCTTTATTCCTAAATGTTGCTAAATGCTGAGGTTTACTGTGTAGCTCTCTGGTTTCTTGATTTTTCTAACTTCTTTCTTGTATGAACAATAGTTGGTGTTTCCTGCGAAGCCATTCTATTTTGGGATCATCTGTCCCAGTATTTTCCAAGACGTTCCAGTGTCCCTGCAAAATCACCTCCTGCATAACACCAATGAGCCTTTCACCTTCCGGAGCAATCCTCCTTCCCCCATCCTCTGTAACCGGTTATCCGATGGCAAACTCAAAGTGCTGTGTTTGATGCTCCTTTTCCTTAACTTCCTGTGGACAATCTGAAGACAAATTCTGACTATACTTTTCTCTGTTTGGGTACCTCATACATCTGCCTTCAGATTGGAACACAGCATGCTTCAGCTTGGTCCAGTAAGGGACCTAATTCTCAAGGCTGCATGGCTGAGGTCGAGGACATCAGTGGTCTGGTCCACACCCTAGGATTCCAAAATGCCATGAGTTTTTTAATGAGACTTTATGGTTTACAAAGCCCTTGGTCCAAGCTTATCTGAATAGCTTTTACAAAGTACTTGAAATCTAGAAATTCTGACAAGGAGGAAGGAAAAGGAGATTCACATTTACTCCCAATCTACTATATATTATTAATTAATTATGTAACTGTCCTTGTCTCCAAGACAGCCATATTGTTACTAGAGAAATATTACATATCATTACTATTTCCTAATAACAGCTCAGATTGCAGGTGTTCTTTGTGGAAGTGGCTGAGTAAAATGTGCCCTTGTTTTTAATCCATGGTCTCCCTGGAACATTTTTTCACTGACCTCCCAAAGTTGGTCACCTTGGAGAAATGGAAGTTTCAGATGTAGCTGCCACTATTCTAATGCAGAATTATCACTTTGTGACTGGATTTCTCACTCATTTATTTAATCATTCATTCAACAAATATTTATGGAGCCCCTTCTCTTCACCAAGCCTATGCTGACTGCTGAAGACTCAGCTGTGAATGTCTTGGCTTTGCCATGCAGTAAATAAATATTATGGAAGTATGCCATGAAGAGGGAACACACAAAAGGAGACCCCTGGGATATTAGCAGGATTTTCGTCCTTCACTTGCTTCCCAGGTATAGCTTCTCCTCTCCACTGCTACTCTACCACCCTAATCACTTTGCACCTCTGTTTCCACAATAGGCTCCCTATCTCCAGTCTCACCACGTCCAATTCATCCTCCACACTCTGACCACAGTCATCATTCTCTAATGCAACCCCTATTCTATATTAGGCTTTTCCAGCCTTCAAATGCTCCTAGGGTTGGGTATATAGCTTAGTGCATAGTGCCTGCCTGGTAAGCACAAGGTCCTGAGTTTGACTCCTGGTACAAAAAAAAAAAAAAAATCAAATGCTCCTGAACACCTATATAACTTGCAGAAGTCTCTTTTGCTCTTTAGCTCAGAATAGTTCCAGTCACTGCTTATCCCTGCTTTTTTCTCTGGCTTAATTATGCTCCACTCCAAAAAACTAAGACCCCACATCTCTCGCTGTAGTCACACAGAATGCTAGTCCTTACAGTTTTTCCTGCCTGGAAGTCTTTCTCTTTTTGTCCTTGTTCTAGACACAGTTCATATCAACCTTCCCAAGGAAGCATCTTGATCTTCTCACCTTCCTTTCACTGGAGGCCTTCCCTTTGCACCTCCATAGCATCCTGACCATATCTCTAACCAAATTCCACAGCCTTAGTTGTTATAACATCATTCAGGTGCTATTCATCTCTCTATGGTTCCAACCACATGGAATGACCTACAGTTACCCTAATTTATCAAGCACCCTCACACATTTCCTCTCCCTAGAATGTCCCTTCTATCCTTCCCTACATGTAAAGACTATTTTTTGCAATAGAGATCACCTGCTCAAATCCCAAATGGAACAAAAATGAACTTACATCTCTGTACTGCTGGCATTTGCTTTACTAAGTAATTATAATGGCTAATCAGATCAGTTATAATTAGTTAACACCTAACTGTTTCTCCCTTCTTGAAGGCAGGCACTATTTTTTATTTCCTTTTTGTTTTCTCCTCCAAGTTCCAGCACATAGTAAGTACTGAAGCCTGGTTCCTAAATGTTGAGAAAATCTAGGAAAAGATGGAATACACAGCACATATGTTAAGAGCTCATAGTACAATACAGAAGTATTTTACTCCGCTTATTTCATGTGTGTTAATCTTGTACTTACAACTAGATTATAAACTCATTGAGATACAGAGCTATGTTATAAAATTTTATATGGCTTCCAATGCTGAATACAGGATATGCAGTCAATAATTACTTGTAAATAGAATCTGAATATGATAAAAATAAAGTAATCTTACAGATGGAGGCAGAAACATATCATAACAGAACAAATTTTTTAAAACTCTAGTAAAAGCATAAAAACCAGTAAAAGCAATAAATTCTTGATATTTTCTTGCCAAGATTTGCTGGAAAAATGATGAGAATATTCATTAAGAAGTAAAAAGTACATATGCTGACAATTATCTTTAAACCCCCTCTATGCCAATTTCAACTTGAATATATTTCTGGAAAGGTCTTCACTAGTTATTTGAAAGAGAAAAAAAAATGAGTATTTTCAGACCTGTGTCTTGCTAAATCCCTTTAAAAATCATAAAAACCAATCTGTTTTAGTAATATCCATCCCTTTCTTGATTTTCCTCATCCTCTCCTCTCCTCTCCTCTCCTCTCCTCTTCTCTCCTCACCTCTCTTCTTTCCTTTTTCCCCCACTTTGGCTATGCTAACTTAGGAGTCAAGGTCCTTTTCACGTTTCATGAACTTTTTAAGTGGATCTCACGAACATTGTGCTTTCTCCCACTTCAAAGTCACAAGAT